CATGTGACAGATGACAGATGCCTTCTGAGAAATTGTGTTAATGATACTCTTCAGTCTTGTCTGGGAAAACAACAAAAGGAAAGACCAGGGTGAGAGAACACCATACCTTGATTGCAAAATAATGTTAGGTAAACCTTTAGCATACACAAAGTCACTTTCATCCTAGGATTTGTGGGGGCTTTTTTTCTTTTTTGTCAAACATATCTCTTTTGCAATGTTCATCATAAAGACCTAGAATACTCGTCCTCCAATGAAGTTCAGTGGGGTTTTAGCTCTCCTGCTGTGTTCAAATGATGATAAAACAATGTTGGGTCATTATAAGGTTTAAGCATGATAAATGCCCTACATTTACTGTGTCTCACTGGCTGAGTTCTCTGTAAAACTTCTCTCTGTGCTTGGCAGTTTAAGTCCTGAAGATTTAACTGCTTTTTTACTGGATTTATAACCCAATCATAACTTCTCTGAAAAAAAAATCCCACACAAAAACCAACAGGTGGGGTTGAGGTTTCACTATAAAAACAAACAGGCAAACAAAAATTTTAACAAAATAAATTCTTTGATAAGGAGGTTTCTGCCACAGTATTCTGTAAACTTAGCACAATACTTGCACACTCTATGTCCAAGCAATGCCACTCCTGAACTTTGAAAGCTGTAGGGGTCAGTTGTTGCAGAATTTTTTAAGGCTACAGGCAATAACAAAGGAACTGCGTTTGTAATATCTGCATTGCTTCTGATAATTTCCTTGTCAGGACTGCATTTAAGGCTCTGTGAGCTTGATTGGCAATGTCTAGGTTACCTGCTCCTGCAAGCAGGGGTGACTCACCTGTGATTTCTATAGCCTGAGCACTAACAAAGAGCCTGTGACTTCCAGTCTGCCTGGGGCTCCTGTCTGCTGCCCTGTGTGCCTTTGAAGACAACATGTATTCAGAAACAGAGGGGGAGGCCGAAATAAAGGGACAGGGAGAGCAACAAACCCAGATTACGGTTTGGGCACCTGCACTTCCTGTTTCTGAGTGGCTCCACTCACAGTAACAGTGCTTAGATTCTTGTGCTTTACAGAGGTACCCCCTGCAACCCTTAATCTCAGAAGAAGCTTTTGGTAAACAAAGCCAGTAAGTGAGGTCAGATTTGGATATGGAGAGACGTCACCAGAACTTGTCAGGGTAGCAAGGGATGTTGCCTGAATGTGTAGGCAGTAGGAGGCAAGTAGGAGAGCAAAAACACTCCATGAGCTGATAAGAGTGGATTAAGGATTCGGCACTGAGCAAACTACTAGAGAAGAAGGACATGTTTCAGAAAGACAGAATGAGAAATCATGGCCAGTGCTGTTCCTGCCCTAATGAACTGACCACTGCTGGAAATGGTTATCTCAGGATGGTGTTGAAAACCATCTACTATGATGGACGAGATGTTTTGGGTGTTGTAAGAAGGCACGAGTGATGCTTGCTGACACTGAAGCTCCAGAAGCTCTGCACATGATTCTCATTTTCTCTCTCACAGGAGGCAGAAGAAAAGACACAAGCTAGTAATATCCAGCCTGCTGTTTCAGACTCACTCACATAGAGTCCAGGCTGTTTATATGGCAGAGATACCTTCAAGCCCTTGTCACCTCAGCCTCGAGCGTCTCTGCCTGCTCTCCTGTGCTGCCATCCACCGGGGGATGGTGTGTGAGGTGGAGGTGGCCGGAGCAGAGGGGGAAGGCAGGCGGACAGCTCATGTAGAAAACAGCTTTGCAATGCCTAGATCCTGCAGTTTTTCTTTCCCCCTATTGTTAAGTGGCATTGAGCACCAGCAAAACAGGAAGCTGCTTCCTCCAGCCGCTGACCCAGCCAACCCAGGGCAGCTGCTGGCTGTGCAGAGCGGCCTCCCCACACCACCCTGTTCCTAGAAAGTGTTGGGACATTTGGAAGAGTGTTTAAGGAAGAGCAAAATGTACCACTAAATCTTGAATAAGTAGGTATGCTTGGTAACTCTTACAAGAAGGGAATCATACTGGAAATATCTGGTTAAAACAGTCAAAAAAAAACCCTCTCTGTTTTTCCAAAACTGGGGCATATGGAAGTGAGAGCAATGATGTCTAAGCCAGTCTCTGTCACCTCACTCATCTGGTAACTAACTTGACTGTCTTTTTTTTGTGATGTGCAGATCTTGTATCGGACATCGTTGTTTGAGTTATGAAGAAACTGTTGTTTTACAGGCACTGCAGCTTTTGTTGTGATCCTTAAGCCTCAGAAGTCCAGCCAGGTCTCGCTTTGCTAGGCATCCTCAGGTAGGTAGGAAATAGTGCTGGTGAGGTGGTAGGTGACCCTTTTCTTCCTGAGACAGCAACACCTCATGGTATCAAGAGAATACATGCTGCTGGGGTTTCTGTCCTTCTGATGAGACTGCAAGTGGAGGACAGCAATGACATTGTGGCTCCTTTTCTAATTACACATCCCCAGGTGATCTCTGATACCAAGAACAAGGTTATCCTCCCTGGTGACATTCCGCTGATCTAAAATTCCCATTGATTTGTTTTGGTTTAGTTTTTGGTTTTGTTTTTTTCTATGTTGTGATATTCTTCATTTGGTCTTTTAAAAACTCATATAGTTAAAGAAAATTCCTGAAACTTCACTGGGAATGTGTGGTGGAAATTTTTCACAAGTGCATTTCTGTCTTTCTGAAAGTAAGACACATTGATGTGAAAGAAATGATGCTCAGCCTAATCTCTGTCACTTCATTACTCTTGAGCTCCAACTTAATTACCTCCCTGATGCTTTGCACAGCTCTTAAACAGCCATTTTGTGTCTACTTAAAAAGCTGCCATACTAAATGAAGTGATGACTAGATATACTCTTGCCACTGGAGAGAGGAGATGTGAGGTTTGGTTGAAGTTTGAAATACCATTTCTAGAGCACCCAGAAGGTGCTTCATATTGTACAGGTTTAATCCTGCATTCAGGAGTTCACAGATGACTTACACATACCCACTGAAACCATGCTGAGCGCTTATGTCACAAACCCATGGTACCACACTCACGGCCACACAGTCTCTGGCTGATGTCTGTGAGTACAGTGCAGTGTCACTTCCCAGCAGTGGTGGCAGCAGCCACAGGCCAGGACTGAGAGCAGGAGAGGACAGGCAGGACAGCTCAGCTGTGTCACCTCGCAGGTGCACTCCTTCAGAACAGGCTGTTCTTACACTCTGCTCTGCTCTACTCACAGCTGAAAGTCACCAGGACCAATCAAAACACAGAGTGGATATTCAAGTTGCATCTCTCTCCTTTTTTATCTGACCATTTTCCTCCAGTGTTTTGCATTGGATTTGGAGGTATGTGAGATTGTCTTTTGCTTGTTCTGTCCTTCAAACTAAACACACATGATGACATGTTGCCTCTTGTCCCTTGGCCCTTCCACCCTTTGGGAGTTAAATGAATTGGCTCTTTAATTTCCTTGTTCCCAGAAGTATGTCAAGCACTACAGCATTATTCATGGACTCAGTACATACATGCCATTGCAGGGTCCTAGAGAGCAGAGATGACACCATCACTTGTACACATGAACAGCTCTGCATCTGGGCTTTTCTTCCAGCCTTTCACCCCCCATTTTTTGTGAGATGGGGGCTTGTCACAAAACCACTTCAAGCACGTGTGAGATACTTAATAATATGGTAAATATACATCCCTTATCTTCCTTGACAGGGAAGCTTTCTAAAATTTGGATGGTACTTCAAAACCATGTAGGTCTCTTCCAACGAAAAATTTTTTTGTGTCTCACTCACATAGGCTTTGATTTGCACTACAATAGTAATGTGGTGCATTAGAGTTTTAAGAAATGTGTCCATATCTATTTCCTGGTCTCCCTCACAAAATATAAATCCCTATTAACATTGCTATTACACAATGAAAGTCAGTGTCTGTTGAACTCAAGGTTACACTTAACCTATCTTGAAACTCATTATGTGTAAATATGACATGATAATAAATAGAATAGGAGGGATTCACTAAAATGAACAGAAATGCTTAGGGAAGAGCTTAGGGTAAATGAATTGGCTCCTAACACAAAAGGAACCTGATTCTTGAGGAGATCTTCTCTTTAGAAGCTGGCTTTTTCACCAGGAGAAGCTTCTCATGCAGCAGCTTTCTGGTGGTCTCAAAAAGATCTTTCTAAAATGCCTTGTTTAGTTCTCTGTTGGAATCTATAAGGTATTCAGAATCGTTTTCTTTCTCAGGATTACCAGCTGATGAAGCAAATAACATTGCTTTGTGCCTCTGATCAACACGTTTCTTGATCAACAGGTCTCCGATCACTGTCCCCTTGCATGTCCTTTATTTCTTTTCACAAGGGCCACTTATAAAGTAGGTTAGGACCCAATCTCAGGACTGATGTTCACGTGTAGAAATGTAACCAAATAATTGCTTTGTTGGAAATCCACCTAATACCAGAAGAAAAGAATAAGTGTTCCTTCCTCTTGTTAAAATTTTTCTGCTCTACTCCCCTGGCAGAGGGCTTAGGGATGTTATGGTAGCTATTCCAGGGTTAATAGTCTTTCTGCCCAACCAGCCTCTGTTAAACGTTGGCTCTAGAAGGCTTTTCCTTTGCCTATTAATCTCAGATCAGGTGAGGCCAGTAAGGCAGTGAGGTGAGCATCTCTGTTTTTACAGTGCTAATGACAGACTTGTGAAGGGGGGGGGAGGCTGTTACTGGGCTCTTGCTCTAACACTGACTCTTTTTCCTGTACATAGCTATACTTTGACATGGTATTCTTGAACTTACAGATCAAAGAGAATTACCAGAATGATCCACTTGTGAATTGTGGGCCATTATCTGTTATTAACTCATCTTGAGCACTGTGGTGAGCAAACTGTAATTTACAGTATGTTATTACATTTCTGCTCACTGTGGTGTGCAGCAGCTGAATATGTGTGTGTGCTAGTCCATAACAATGGCTAATTCAAACAGATCTTTGCCAACCTCTACTAAGGTCGATCAAGAATTTAATTTACTTCTAATAGTTTTGTTTTTCTGCTTCCTGCCCCTCCCACCACATTTAGGAGAGATTTCACCTTCTCCTTTTCTCTTCAGTACATGCTTGCTTCCAGGAAAACTTGGAAGTGCAGCAACAACCTCCTCCAGTTCTCTGCCAGATTTCCTTCAGGATTTAATGATTCAGGTGGCTTCATTTGCTAAATTTTTGCCAAAAAAAAAAAAAAAAAAAGTAAAAAAAAAAAGTAGCTCTCCACTGACACCATATAATAAAGTTGAGCAAACAGGAGGGCTGGTAGGAGACTTATTTTTATTGCCTGGCCCTGGTCACATGACAGATCAGGTTACAAAATACTAATACCCCTGCCAACTCTCAGGATCCACCAATTCCTCTTGCTACTGTTTTAATCCAACCTGCCTTTTCTTATTTTTTCTTTCCTTTTTTTTTTTCTGTTTTTTTTCTATTTTTCCCTATTTTTTTTTTGTGAGGGCATGGGGTGAGGGGAAAGACATCAGACTGGGGCAGGAGATAGAGTGAAAAGCGAGTATATCATGATTGGGAGTATCCCTTTAGCTCCTTCAGTGTTTGTTCAGCACTTTTTCGCCAGCTGAATAGCTTATTCCCTCAGAGTGTTGGCAGCCTTTGGCAAAAGTAAAGCAATGTCAGCATTCCCCTGTTCCATCTATTTTTTGGAAAGCAATCGTTAAAAATGTTCCATTTTCACCTTGTTTGCAAGTTGTGATTAAGGCTTCTCCCCCAATTAAATTGTGACATTCTGGCATGAAAAACAGCTTCAAGATCGGGAAGATAAGCTAGCACACATGCACACATGCAAAAAAAAAAAAAAAAAGTCCTCCTTCTTTCTTGTGGAAAGAAATTCAGCAGTTCAGTGGAGCCACTTCTTTTATTAGCAGTGAGACAAATATATTTTCCAAAAAATTGCTGATAAAACAACAGATTTGGAAAACATAAACTTCATGCAACTCTCTGGAGTTCTTCACAGCAGTTTCCTCTTTGTCCCTTCTTCCAGCATACAGAACCAGAGCTTTAGTGTCGGACTCCTGCAAGGAATCTGCCTGGAGAGGTGGATGCCCTGTACCTCTGCACAGGCTCTGATGGGGCAGCTCCACTGCTACTGACACCTCAGCTACACCAAGATGGGCACCACTATGGCCGCAATGTCCCGAGGGTGGAGGTACACCTCAGCAACAGAGGCAGTGCCTCACAGAGTGGGGGATTCAGGGAAAAAACCTCTGTGCTGTCCTTCCCACAGACACTGATGGTTTTGGTTGTGTCAAAGGTTTAAGACAATAACTACACATAATGTTTCTCCACCTTTATAATGAAGAGCTGTGGCACAGAGCAGTTAGGAGAGCAGTTCATGGCAACACAAGACTTCTCTAGTGAAGTCAACAGTCAGAATTCAGGTGACAGTGGTAGTCCCTGTGTTTCAGCTACGAGACCACCCATCTTCTCTTCTGGCAAGCATTAGTGGAAATGTACTTCTGCCTTCCAGTGCCTGTGACCATGGTAGTTTCCAAGGGGGAGTGTGTTGCAATTGTTCTAGTTTTTCCATTTCTGCTCTTCTTTCACAAGTTGCCTATAAAAACCTGCAACACTTTTACATTGACCATGTTCTGGACTCTCTTGAAAACACAACCCTGCTCTGATTTCTGACAAAACAACCTCTTGTAGTCAGGAGTGTGTTATGACTTCTCCAGCGAGCAGGCAGGGTTGGGGGAAGTACGTGTCAGCAGTGACTCCATGCATCCACCCATCTTCGCTTGGTGCGCCCACGGATCGCAAGCTGGTAGGGGTGGGGATCATCACTTACTACACTTCTACAGGGCTTTGGCCTTCAGTACTTCCAACCACAGCACTGATGGGGTCCCCTTAGAATGCTTGTTTTCAGGAGGCTTCAATAACACATATTCCTCCTTTTTCATGTGATTTTTTAATGCCATGAGAAACAATGGAATTTATTTTACTGAAGTCTTTCCTCCTTAACTGCAAATAATACAAATGCAAAAGCATCAGGAGGATGATACCATCCACGATGTGGGAAAAGTAGTGCTGGATCTCTACACTTCCCTTGACTCTGACATAGTGGAGTTACCCTAATAACCTGGTAGATTTTCAGAAACCATGGCCGTGTTGCAATTACCTGCTTGTTGGGCATTTGTTTCCTTGTTCTTTAGGCAGCTCCATTTCTGTGTGTGCAATCACAGCACCCTCTACTGCCTCCCGCTGAACCTGCAAAGGACCGCGAGTAGTGGACTCTAAAAAGGACTTTCGGAGTGACTAGGCTTTCTCATTATCACGTGTGGTTTAAATTACGAAACAACACCCCCAGCATGAGAATAATAATCCAACTAGGTTCTGTCTAGAACGCAGACCAGAGCCCATATATGAACAGTATGAATTCCCCCAGGGATTCAAGCACCTATCAGCCTGAAAGCAGTTTTTCCTTTTAATCTGTAAGGCATTATCTTCCACTTTTGTTAGGTCCATGAAGGAAAAATAGATCTATTTTCCTAGTGATAAACACGAAAAGACACTAGATCACGTGCTACTCCTGTGTGCTCCTGCACCGACTGCCACGGGCCTGACAGAAAACTCCCATTACAGAATCCAGCCCTCAGGAGCCTCAGGTGTCAGGGGTGTGAAGTGCTCTCTCGGCCCTGCCAGCCGCAGGTTTCCTCTCTGCTGTTTTTGCACAAACCCAGGGGTCTGGTTCGTTTAGTCTCAAATCCCGCCCTTCACCGCCAGCGGCGCTCAGCGGGGCCCTCTGCACCAGTCCCGCCTCACGGGGGGCGACGGGCCAGTCCCAGGTGAAGCGTGCGAGCGCCTCCCGGGACCCGGGCACGTGGGCTCCGCAACGCGGTCTGCAGGCCCCGGCAGCGGGCGGAGGAACCGCGCCGGACCCAGCCGTGCAAGGGGCGGGGCCGCAGGAATAGCAATGGGCCCGGCCGGGCCGTGCAGGGGGCGGGGCCGCCCCGGTCCCGCCCAGCCCGCGCCGCTGACGTGGCGCAGCCCCGCGGTGCGCGTGCGCAGGCGGCTCTTCCGGAGCGGAGCAGGATGGTGCTGCTGGAGAGCGAGCAGGTGCGGGGCCGCGGCCCGCCGGCAATGGGGGCGAGCTCGTGTGCCGCCGCGGAGCGAGCGAGCGAGGGAGGGAGGGAGGGAAGGAGGGAGAGAGAGAGAGAGAGAGAGAGAGAGAGAGGGGGACCCGCGAAGCCGCGCGGAGATGCCGGGCCCGCACCGGTCCCGGCGGCGTGGGAGCCGCTGCGGGGGAGGGGAGCGGAGCGGGCGTCACGGTTCCCGGGGACTCTCTCCCGGGGCAGAAGCGCCGGGGCCGCGGGAGGTCCGAGGGCTCAGAGCTCGTGTTCGGAGTCAGAACCGCGGGCCGGGCCGCCCCCGGCTGGGACTTCGTGTCCTGCAGCTTCAGCGTGGGGAAAGCCGGGAGTTCGCCTTTCCTCGGTGCTGCCTCCCGCGGGTGGGAGAGAGCCCGGGCCCGGCCGGGGACAAGAGCTCGGAGCTCGTGTGGGGGCTCCCAGCCACGGGCACGTCTCTTTCTCTTGCAGTTCCTGACGGAGCTTACCAGGCTCTTCCAAAAGTGCAGGACTTCCGGGAGCGTTTTCATAACGCTGAAGAAATGTAAGTGTTGAGTCTGTTACTGGGTTAAAGAGGTGTTAATATGAATCTGACTGTTGTCACCAGGTATTTTAAGCGATAGGAGCTGTAATCCAGGGTATCTGAAGACAAGAGCAGTCATAGGAACAAACCCGTCAGCAGGAGCACTGATTAGCGCTATTACTATTAGTCCTACAACTGTTAGCTGTAGGACTGATAGTACTAGTAGCATCAGTACTAATAACCTTTAAGTGAGACTGTATTTCAAACTGCAGGACATTCAAACTAGGATTTTCTGATTGTTAAACAGTAAGTTACAATCGTTTGTTTTCTGTAAAAGGAGAATTCTGATGTTGTTTTTGTGTGTTCGTGTTCCGCTGGTTCCTGCTAGCTGGCACTACTGGAGAGGCCGAGGCAGGAGGCAGCAGGGTGACACGCGTTTAAAGCATGCTGCTGCTCGAGCAGACAGGGCATATAGCACGTTGAGGGGAGGATTTACTTCATTTTTTCTGGTAGATGTAATTTACAGAACAGATCTTTCTGGGGTTCTAGAGTAAGAGCAATTTGGCAACAGTATTAGTTCAGTTGGCCTGAAATTCGAAGGTGTTTTACAGATCTGCTCATGAGCAGTTTTTAACACCTCATATCAGAAGTCATCTGTTGATTTTAATGAAATAAGAATAAAAATTCTTTTCCAATGCAGATGATGGTCGAACAAAACCAGTTCCACGCAAAGGCCACGTAGAAAGTTTTGAACCAGCAGACAACAAATGTCTCCTGAGAGCAACTGATGGAAAGAAGAAAATCAGCACAGTGGTAAGTGATAACTTTTAAGTTAGAAAAGCTAGTGGCTCTGTGTGTTTTTGATTTAATGCTCCATATTTTAAATGAAACTTGAGAAAATGTTAACTGGTAGTTGAAAACCTGATGTGTGTTTACTTTGAATGAGGGATTGGGAAAGGCTTTAGCTGACTTCAGGGTCTGTTCTGTGATATGACACAAAGAAAAACGTTACTTAAGAGAAATAGGTGAGAACGTGAGCTGCAGCATTTTTATGGCCCCACAAGTGAATCAAACCTTTCTTTGAATGCTTTCACATTTTTCCCATGGGAAAACATGTGACTTAGGGATGAATGGCATATAGAGGGTTTTATTAATCAAGGAGTGTTTTCAGTTTTCTAAATCAGTGGAGTCCTATGACATACCAGTACAGCACATTGACCACTGAATGTTGATCCAACTGCTGCTAAAAAGACCAGATGGTAACTGGTGGGTAAACATGTACTGATACTTGGTCTGTAATTGCAGACAGAGTTTTCGTGGTTAACCTCCAGTATTACTTTTGTAGGTGAGCTCAAAGGAAGTAAATAAATTCCAGATGGTAAGTTTTTTATGCCTTCATCTTCCTTTTCTGTAGGTAGTACAAGTGGTCTGTTGGAAGCAGTGGGCAGCTGTGAACAGGTTGATTTCTTGCTGAACTGCCACAAAAACTAACTGAGACTACCCATTTATCTTAATCTGTTTTTAAAATATCCTGTTTTATTTTATCTAACCTTGTATATTGGTTTAAACAACAGTATTTTCCTAGTGCAGGGTGTAAGAGCATGATTCTCTGGGAAAAGACAGATAATTGGCCATTTGTAATACATAAAATGTTATCTTGCATATTGTCATTTAAGTATTTGGGGTTCTTTTAAATGGTTCTAATTGTTTTTTCAGGCATATTCAAATTTGCTAAGAGCTAACATGGATGGCTTGAAGAAGAAAGACAAGAAAAGCAAGGCCAAGAAGAGCAAAGCAACGCAGTGATGGGACAGTGTGCTACCATCGCTATTATAGACTTGACCCTTGCTCAAAGCAAAGTCCATTTCTTTTTGAGTTACCACTTGTCTTTGGCTTTCCTTCCAGCAGGAAACTGGGATATGATCAGTACTTTTGTTTAAACTGAGAGCAGAGGTGCTTTTTTTGGGTTGTTGTATGGCAGGAGGATGTACAGCATTCTACTGGAATAGCTTTACACTCAGCTGGTTTGTACTTACACTGCTGCTGTGTTCTCTGCAGTGTAAAACCTGTCTGGGGGGGTAGCACAGGGTGAAGGGAAATGCACCCTTTCAGAAGCAAAACAAGACTGGAGCAGGAGCCTCAGTGACAGATGCCCGGTTTTATAGATGAGCCTCAGTAATTCTAGGGAAAGCAGGTGCCAACATATTATCAGGAACAGCTGCTTTCCTGTTTCTGTCTTAATCTGAGGGCCATGTCTACATGATGCAGTGCAGATATCCCCAAGGCAGCCAGCACAGTGCTCGAGTTCTTGCAGAGCTTTCACTCCATGCTGATGCAGCTGTTCTGACCTGGGCTCGGGGTGGCGGGAGGGTAGGACTCTGCATCATGCTCCCTTCAGACATAGCTTAAAAATGGTCATCACCTAAACTTTTTTTTAAAAACATCATCCTTCAGTATATTCAGGGATCTGAATTTTCCTTCCTTCATATGAACAGATGTAAAAAGTAAAGATGTAATTGCTCCTATTAAAGATAATGAGAAATGGACTGTGTGTAATGGCCGATGTGACTTGTCATGGTGAATTGCTAGGAATGGCACAGTTATCTGTGTCTTTAGGATTGTATGCTGCTTTGGACATTGCTGTTAGAACCTTCACAGTTCCCAGTTTTGTGGTTTGTCTTGCAAGTTGCCCCTATGCATTTTAACTTTGTCACCTTTGCTACAAGAAAGGGTAGAAAAAGTAGGTATTTATTAATGTAATGAGTCTGCAAATGGCAATCATTTGTTTTAGAGAAAGAGGTGTAAGTTTAAACAAAAGGTACCAAGTGGGGAGGGAAGGAAAACATCAGTGTACTTCCAGAAATCCTTAATATTTCTGTACTTTCCTCCAGTGTTTGGTGTGAAATACAGTACATAGTTAACTATGACTCCTGTAAATCATAGTTTCTCAGCTTCGTTCTTCCTGATGGGGTTGTGCTACAGTTTAGCTTCAAGAAGATAATTATAATACTTCCATCATTACTATAACTTCAAACTTAATCTGACAACTCAGGTAAAGAAAGTTAGTTCAAAACTGGTTGTGCCTCAAGCACATGCAGGTTACTTTTTATCTTTAAAGTCTTTGGTTTAGGTTCTGCAGGTCTAGAACAAGTGTTCTGTTTTATCAGGTCTTCATATCGCAGAAGCTGCTTCTTGATTTAAATGCAGAAGTACAGACAGGACAAGCAAAGACAGCCAGGCTTGTAACAACTCAGCCTGAAATTTACCATATTTTATACATAAATTGAAATAGTAGGTTAAAAAATACAACTAAAATCAACACACAAAAGGCTTGTAATGAGTATTTCAATACGGTGCAGCAGTTTTTATTACATAAAAATTCCTCAAAAGTGTTTAAAACAATTTTCATTTATAATTCTAGAACTGATGTTTCTTGTTGCAGTACTATTGTTGCATAAAAGGCATTCTGAAACAATTTTTTACAAAAAGTAGTTTTACATCTGTACAGCTGCTTTGTGTAGCATAAGAGGCGAGAAATACTTGGCAATACCTGTCTGTGCTCTAGTCAAGACTTGCTCCTTAATTGCCTATAAAACAACTAATTCCACTTTTTGAAAGCATTTAGTTTTGTATTTGTTGTGGTTTAGGAATGTCATTCTCTAGTTTAGTGCTCCAGTTGAATGAATGCATGTGCCACCCACTAGCTCCTCCCCCTGCTGGTGGCCGGAGAGGAGAATTGGGAAGCACAGAAGGTAAAGAGCACAGGCTGAGGTAAGAATATACTGGAAACAGCAATGAGATGAGAAAACAGTAACAGCAACAATATCAGTGGCACAGAGTACAGGAAGGGTGAGCGAGTCCATAGAAACAACCGGACCCAAGTGCTCCCTCCGCCACGCTGTGCCCACCTGGAATGGTGTGAGGTGGTACAGATCAACCTCTGGGTTCTGGCCATGCCTCCTAGCTACAGCAAATATTAACCTTGTCCTGGCTAGACCCAGGCCATTATTATACATGAAATGCAATCTGGACACAGAAAAAGGCCCTAGTTGCCTGTCTTGCATTATTGCAGCTTTTTGAAATTCCTTTTGACAAAACGCTGTTGTCCATTTGTAGGAGCATCCCATAAATGATGCTTTAAGTACTAAAACAAAACCTTGTATTCATCTCGATAACTGTACAGGATAAGTGCAGAAATCCTGCAGGGGGAAGG